CGAACCTTTTAATGCATTTCGAAATGAGGATTAATAATAATAGTAATAATAGTATATAATGGGCAACCAAAAGCCAGAGGAATGATTCAACTTTCATAGCCAAAGGGGTCATAATTACCAATAGATTTTAAAGAGCAGGAATACATGCTTATTTTGGCAAGGATTATTTTGAATTTAAAGATATTCCATCACTCCATCACTTATCTCTGACTATTTTTTCTCTAAAAATTCTCTTGAATTTTTTCCATTTCAATGAATAGATACTATAACTAGATAATAGAAAAATAATAGTTGCAAAGCCAATGCAGTATGCGTTATGTTTCATTTTCGTCCTTTTGCTCATTAATTTGCCTTTGCTGGAAATTTTGCTGATTTTGTGGCACATCTGCTACTGCTCTGCCAGCCGTAGTAGTGCTGATGCTGCGGGCATTCAAACTGCAGTAGTCATCATATTAAAATGCAATTATACAATTGCTTTTGTATTGCCCTGCCTATCCTGCCTGCCCACCCACACACCTGATTTTCCACCCCCCCCCCCCCTAACCTTTTATCCTTTTTGGCTAAAAATTCCCCTTTATTTTTTTTTTTTTTTGGAAAATTGTTCTATTTTTGCTAGCTAGCCCATTTTTGTCGCACTCTTGCATAATTTATAATCATTTCTATATGTGCCCCAGGGACACGCCCATTTTGGGGGCGCATCGGGCGATGGGCGATGGCATTTCGTGAATTCATAACGAGATGCATCGAAATTTAAATTGCCCTTCGTATATATCCGTATGGGGAGAGCGTAGAGGGAGTGTGGGTGCGCCAGCCTTAAGGAATTTGATTTTATCCCAAAAGGCAGAGATTTGTGGCCATATCTGATGATTTCAGATTTTTTTTGGTTTTTGTTTTAGATTTTAAGAATAAAATTAAGTTATTTTAAATTGCTTTTATTTTATTTTTGTTTGAAAAGGGCTTGAAATTATTTTATAAAACATTTAGGATGCTTTATTGCCGAAAAAATATATTAGGCCTTAATTTGTATTTTAAAAAAATATTTTTAATTAGTTTTTCATATTTTTTAAACTTATTGTTTAGTTGGAAATACCGCAAAATAATTTAATAAAAATATGAAAACAATAAAAATAGTAGTGGTATTTTTATAATATAATTAAATATGTATAAATAAGTAGTATTTTCAAGGCATATAAAATAAAAAATAAAGTAAACATTTCCTGAAAGAATTCCCCTATTTGTGGATTATATATGCCGCTTTGGCCGGCCGGTAGGTGGCGGGCGCCGGATGCCCCAAGAATCTTCAGCTGTAAAGTAGGCAATGGATTTTTGCCAAACAAGTGTAAGAGTTAGAAGGCCAAAAAGAAAAAGACGAAAAATAAAAAAAAAAAAAGTGGAGGAAAAGGACGAAAACTGCAGCTTAAAAGGGGCGGAAAAGTGCAAGGGGAGGTTGGGGGTGACGGAAAATGCAGTGAAGTTGTCTGCACAAAGGCGTCGGGTCAAAGCGGGGCGACAGAGGGAGGGGAGGGGAGAGCGGCCTAGCCTTTTGGAGTTTAGGACGAACTTTAGCACTTGGCCCCGCCCCTTTATCCTTGGCTCTCCTTTATTTTTTTTTTATTTTATTCTTTTATTTTGTGTTTTTTTTTTTTTTTTTTGGGCATTTTGGAGCGTGCAAATGTTAAGTTGTCCTGTGCTCCTCCTCTCCCCTCCTTGGGCCATGCCCCCTTTTTTTTCGACAAAGCTTCCCTCCCCCCCTTTTTTGTTGGCTTTTTATAGAGGAAAACTTGGAGTTGGCGTCGCCGCCCTTTTGTGCCAACTTGACAAACTAAAAATGAAAAAAGTTTCCCCGAGCGGCGCCTTTTTCAATATCCTTTTGCCTTTCAACCCCCCCCTTACCCTTCTCTTGTTCTCTGTTCTTGCCACAAAGAGGGGGAGAAGTGGGGGACCAGGTGAGGTAACATGTAAGAAGCAGAGAGCCAGAGAAAAAAAAAAAAGAGAAAAAAATCCATGACGACGGCTCGACGTATTGATTTCGATTCTGGTCTCCGCCACTTGAGACTTTTCTGCAGAAAAATCGAAGCGAATATATATATATATATATATATATTTTATCCATAATATATATGTATATACCCCCTGCAAGGGGGACCAAGCGTTGTGACTTTGTGGCAGAAATCCAGAGGATTTCCCTAAAAATAATTGCCAATTAGATGCGGTGTTCTTTTAATCCGCGGGTCTAGTATTTCCATGAATTTTAAGTGGTGCCTTTTAAATTATTTTTATATATAAAAAATTTTATTATATATTTAATTTAACTTTAAAAGATTTTAAAATAATAGAAAGGGCCAGATTTTTGGTGTAAATAATTTACTTGATAATTTTTCAGACGGCTTAAGGTCTTAAGATAGGAATAAGCGAAGAATTATCAGAATTTAAGCAATATTATTACTTTTAATTAAATTATTTAAACTATTATTTTATTACATTTATTTTCTTCATAAACTACCTAACTAAGCCCCTAGATCTTATCCACTTTAAAGCTTCTATCCATCAAACATCTGAACTCATTTAACCTCCATACTCGCCATGCTCTAAATTTGATATTCTACCCAAAAATACAAAGATTATCTGAATAATGACTCAACTCCATCAGATAGATATTCCCAATCTTGTTCTGGCCAAAACAGACATATTAATTATTTGTGTCATGGATGGTAGATGGACGGGTCGGGACGTTGATCTTGTGTGTGACCTCCAGCCCGAGCCAGCAATCAATCGAAGCAGAAACTGGTTTGGGAATTCAAAGGCGATCTAGAAATACATTTTGGAGCCAACCTGAAACTGACATGCGGCCAAAGTTCAATTCCCCAAAGAGGCTACAGCTTTTTTAGCCTTTTGTTGCTGCTATTTATGCGTAATTTGCCAATTTACACAAATTTTTCGGGGGGGTGGGGGGGTATTGAAAAGAAAAACCCAACCCAATCCAACCCAACCCAGACGACGAGAAGTGAAGAGAGAAAGCGGCCAAGAAATGTACATTTTAAGGCGCGCCAGCTTTCGGGTCCGGTTCACGCTTTTATTTTCATGGTTCACGACTGTGCCAGACATCCTTGAACTTGCCACTTGCCGCAGGATATCGGCAGTAGGAGCGTAAGGCAACCAGCAGCCAGGAGCCATCAGCCATCAGCCATCGGGCAGGATATCATGTTCCCATATTTCGTCTGGCCCTCTGGCACCCATTTTCTACCATTTTATTTTAATACAGAAAATACAAAATACAAAAATTGTGAGCCCAAGTCGTTGACTTGGCCTAATCCACAAACCTTTTTTCGTTAGAGCCCCTCGACGTCGACGTCGCCGCTCTTATCAATTGTTTCTCCCAAAAAGACGAGAAAAAGGATTTTCCCCGTCGAGGTCGCGCCATTTTGTTTAACGTGAAACGCGAAAACTTTCAGGGTCATCCACACCTTCCATCACAGCCCACCTATAACCCCTCGAACATATATATATATATGCCTGAATAAATATTGTTTGTTCTTGGCAAATTTGCCATAAAATATATTATGACTCTGTGCTGCGGCAGTAGCCCGACAAATGAAATTTAAAACCTCTTCAATATGCCAGCAGCCTGATTTTCGTTTAATTGTTCGTTTCTGGCCTCTTCTGAGTACCTCAGAGTTTCTCATAAAAAATGCTCTACTCTGGAAATTAATTGATTGTGATTTAAAGGGCAAGACCCAGGGAGAACAATCAATATGGAGTTTATTTCTTGGAATTTTTTAAGAAATTTTGGGGAAATAACATTGACCGAGATGGTGTGTGGAATGTGTTAAGGTGGGGAAGTTAAAGTTCCAAAAGAATAAAGGTGCTATAATTTATATAAAAGTTAATGTGGATTTCTAGGAAGAATATGTTACTAATATTTGTAAGTTTTGTGAAGAAAATGTAAGCATTTTTGAGAATATTTTATTGAAAGCACTTAGGTAACTTTTTTGAGAAGCGCAGAGAAGGGCTTACCAGGAAGAATTGTTTAGAAAAATTATAAGAAAACAATTAAATCAAAAAGTAGTACAGAGATTGGGGTAACTTCCTTAAGTTTTAAGGTTGAGTTTCTATATAATTATAGAGGAGATAGGTTCATTTTCATATAAAAATTATTTTCAATAATAAATATTAAAAAAAAAAAAAACTATTTAAGAATCAAGAAAATGGTCTTCGAGTCTCTTAGCTTATTTTTTTGACAAGTGCAGAGAAGGACTTACTAGTCTTTTAAATTTCAGAAAAAATTATGAAAAAATAACTTGACCATTTATATTTAAAAATAAATTTTCTAAATCATAAATCCATTAAGAGTAGTGCTAAAATTGCTGATAAGTTTAAAAGGTCTCTTAACTTTTATGGAAAGTAGGTTAGTTTTCTTTGAAACTAAAATTTCCACTAATAAGTTAGAGAACAGATATGAGGCACTTGAGAACTAGTTTAGTAAGGTAGCTTAGATAGTTAGGAAAGGCTAGGTTCCTAGTAAGGTAACCTAGAAAGCTAGGTTAGAAAAGGTTCTCTAAACCAAGGTTCTTCCTCAGCTAACCTAGTTCTTAGGTAACTATTTTGAGAAGCGCAGAGAAAGGCTCTTTTAGGAAGTTTTTTTTTTTCAGAAAAAAGTGATTTTAAAAGAAGTTCCCTTAAAATAAAAATTTTGTTCCTTTATAGAGCCTTAATCAAGCTTCCAACTTTAAAATTGTAAACTTTTTAAATAAAAACTTTGTTAGTTTTTAATAGAAAAGGTTTGTTTACAAAAACCCAAAACTAAACACTTTAAAAGTATATTTCTTTTACGATTTCTGTTCTTTAAAAAATAATGTATTATATTGGAAAAAAAATAATAATACAAGGTAAATAAATAAATAAATAATTACTAGGCCCTGCTCTAAGGCTTGGGCCCTTATACACTTCAAAAAAAAAAGAGAAAAAAAAATCAAGTAATATTTGAAATTCCATCTATGAGCTTAGATGGCCAGCTGGAATCGCCGCCAGATGCGTTGGAGCTGAGACTCGGAACCGGACTGACTTGTCTGGCTGGGGGATCTGTCGTGGTGATACGGTTCGATGAAATCCACAACCTGCGATTCGGAGCTGCGATGCTGATTTGTGGATGGCTGTTGTTTCTGTTTCTTTTGATGTTGATGGCGATGCTTCTTCTGAATAAACCGACGACGATGATGTATCTTTTGGTGGCGATTAACATTTTTCGTCTTCTTGTTCTTGTTCTTGGATGGCAGACTCCTCAGCTTGAATTTCTTTTGGGAGAACAAGGGCTGAAGTTGTAATGGTTTCCTCTGCTTGATGGTTTCTAGTTCCATTGGCTCTGATTCTTCTACAGCCATCGGCAGATCCAGACGATCCTCGAGTCCTGTAAATGTCGGCACTGCCATCTCCTGTACCGGTTCGCTTAGTTGCCTTCCAAGATTGTGATTTAAGGCGCGACTTGTGCCATTCGTGGTGGTCGTCGTCGTGGTTGTGGTCGACGGTGTGGTTGTCGTTATCGGTGTAGTTGTCGTTGTGGTTGTCGTTGAGGGCTGCGATATGACGATGACATTATCGCTGGGCGGTTGCTGGAACATTCCACGCATCAGCATGAACTTCTTGAACAGATCCCGTCCGCTGCCCACATCCTGGCCGCTGCCAGAGGCACTGCGTCCTTGTGGCAAGCGGGGCAAGCGATATCCTTTAATTATCAACGATAAGCTAACATTTTTGAGAAGCGCAGAGAAGGGCTCTGTATAACTCACCGCTTCTGCGAGCCTCAGCGAGCCCAGAATTTGAAAAAAATCCCAAAAAAACGAAGAGGCCCACAAGGAGAATGGTGTCTCTGCGATGGTTCTTCATGGTTGGAGAGTACTTTGGGCAGTGTTTGCCTTCAGATTGAAGAGCTTCATTCTTATAGCCTTACAATGCAATTAAAAAATTTCACTTCACAGTCTTGCGTGATGCTGACACGCCAAAGGAAAAAAACCACCGCAGAAGATGACATGCAATCATTATAGATGAAATATATATATATGTATATATATATATTTGTGGGTAGAACACGTCCCAGTTCATGACACGAAAGTGGGAGGCTTGATGAGGAAAGTATACCCTCTGGACTCTAGACAGACAAGCGAAAGTTATCCATTTCTTCAAGCTGGGTAGCTGGATAGTAGTCGTACTAAATCAAATCTAATAAACTCGACAATAAACATGCGTTCACATAAATCTGAACACCGGCAAAAAGGGGCAAACGACTCAATGGCAAGTGTAGTGTAGGAGTATCTCAAAGATACTCCTGCCTTGGGTCTGTATAAATAAATAAACGAATTCATGCCCGCATATATACATACATACAGATATATTTATTTTTATGCACATATTTATATTACATGACCAAGTCTGGTGTATCCATAGTATCCATTTAGTATCTGTATCTTTTTTGGGATAGTGTGGCGCAGAGAGTGCGTGAGCCGTCAGGCTGTGAGACTGTGAGCCTGTGTGGCAAATAACTTTAACATAATTCACTTAAATCTTTTTGTTTTAATCTTGAAAAGTGTTTGCCACAAAATTCCAGCCATGCACGCACACGGCATACGCAGCATATAGCCAGCCAGCCAGCCAGCACACTCTTGACAGCCAAAAGATACAAAGATGCTGCTCAGAGATACTCCATTAGGAGTATACACCACCATGCACCACCATATACATACGTGTGTTCGTGTTCGTGTAGCAGGAGCTTTCAACTTTTAGCCAGTGAGACTGGCTCACAAAATGTTTCTCTGTAATCATCCAGAGTGTTGTGTCAATAGCTCTGACGCTTCCCTTGAAATCTTGTATTTACTTTTATCATTATTATGTATTATTTTTACCGCAACACTTCTTCTGTTCTGGTGGCCTGGCCTGGGTCAAGTAAGATACATATATCTTAGCTCTTTGAGAAGCGTGGAGGAAGGCATCTGAAATATTAATCATTTGACACATTGTCTAAATATTTCAACCCAAGAATATCAATCATAATCGTTTAAATGCCCTTTTTTCATCTTCGTCTCGTCTTCCAAAATCAATAATTAAATTTTCCAATCGTATGTACCTATGTTGTGTCTCTTTTTGTGGAATTCCATCTTTGGAATTATTATTTTTGGGCCACTTGCATTTCTGATTAAATATCTTTAGTGGCTTCTGCTCTTCGACACGAACTCTGTAGTTGTTACTTTCCAATGTTGTTTCTGGCATGAAATTCAATTATAGAATTTTCTATTAACTTAAAAGCTTCTTATATTTATTTAATTTGTTATTGTGTCTCGGTATGAGTCTCGGCTGGCTGTACATACATACGTATATATTTCTATCTGCTATTATTATTGACAGACAGACACACACACACTCCCAACCATAAGAATGTTTCCATCAATTAGACACACATCCAGAAAATGGAACACACACACACAGTCTGAAGTCTAAAGTAAGGACAAGTTTTTCCAAGGGAGGGGGCAAAATTCCTACAAAATTTTCATGATTCTTGTTCTCTCTACTATTTGGCATTTCTTCCACAAACATTTCCCAGATAATTTCCCTCTTGCTCCCTATTTCTTTTTTTATTGATTGATTGATTGAATTGTTTTTTGGAAGCAAATTAAATGAAAATCCAGTTAGCGCATCATTCTGCAAGTACATCACATCTTTCAGAAAAATGTAAAATGTTTTTATGGCCAATAAGCGAATCTCGGGGCGCAAATTGAAAACTTCCTGCCATCCGGCCAACGGAAGAAACTTATCAACTTTATATTATTGCGAGACGGAGACTCTGACTCTACCAGCTTCGCGAAAAAAAAACTTTTTCATTTTATTTTTCTCTTTTTTTTTTATTTTAGTTTGTGGGCCTTAAAGTTCATCGGTTATAACGTAGACATATTTGCAAAAAAAAAAAAAACGAGACCAAGTTGCGATAGTTGTGATGATTAAGCTGTCAGCGCAATTGATTCCAAAAAAAAAAGTTCGATAGTTGAAGGGAAATAGTCGAGGAAATATAAATTAGTCTTTGACCTTTGGGGGGAGGAACCTTGGAACCTTCTTGGATTTAATTGAAAGATTATTGCAGTAGCTGCTTACAATAAAGTGTTATTTAAAAAACTATCTAAAAAAAACTCTGAGAAAGCAGTATATTAAATATTAAATATATTATGTTGATTATTTCTTTCATTATTTTAGAAACAGAAAATAGTGAGGAATATTATTAACAAATTTTTGGAGATTTTTGGAGATATTGCACTTTAAAATCGGTTAAAAGTTTAAAAAAAAATGTGCCGTAAATGAGCATCTCGTATTCCCCATAAATAAAAAACAGACATCCCTTAAAAAAAATGGGTTAAAAATTAATTTCAAAAATAAATTCAAAAATTGCCAGATTTTTATTCAAAATAATACCCAATCAATTCACACAAGGCCCCTTAAGTTAATAATAAATAATCCCCTCCCAGTTATAACAATCCCCTATTTCACAAAAGGCTTCTAAAAAAAATCTATAAAATATTTTTTTGTTCTATATTATGATGAAAATTTATAAAGAACCCTACAATGAATCTTTAAAGGCATTCCTCTTCAGAATCGGTTAGAAATCTGCAAAGATTTAGCCTTCGATCGAGGTCATACTTATTTAATATTTTGATGCAGAATAATGAAGAATTCTTCCATAAACCTTTTTATTTACTCTGCTCAAGAATTGTAGCCATAATGGCCAAGATACAGTCATCTCTTTAGGTCAAGTTGTTATTCCTTCCAGAGAAGAAACTCCAGAAAATATGAAAAACAATTTTTAAAATATTTGAATCTCAGATTTTGATGGAAATTAGAACTAGAATCGTTCTAGAAATCTTTTGAGGCATTCTTCCTAAGAATCGGTTGTAAGTTCACAAAGATATAGCTTCCCATTAAGCTCATATGAGGCTTCCGATGATTTTTTTTTTTTTATTTTTAAAGAGGATGCTTCAGGAACTTTAAGGACCTTGTAAGATATTCTTGTAGAATCTTCTCTATTCTGTAAAATATTCAAAGAATTCTTAAAAGATAGCCTTCCCCAAAGTCGTTAAAAAATCGATAAAGATATGGACATACCCCCCCCCCATGATATAGTCATACTGCCTTCCATGCTCAATTAAATTTAATATTATTTCAGATTTCAAATAAATTAGAAAAAAAAAAAGGGTTCTAGTTATGATTAGCCGGTTGTGGGTGAGTCCTTTCAAATGTCATCCTTGATCATCTCCTCAGAGGTATTGAACCCGACGGAGGTTCTGCAGAGGACGCCGCCTGCGCTGCCGGAAGCGGTGGCCGAACAGACCACCCAGACCCTCAGAGGCATCAGCATTGTCCTCGTCATCGTTGACCTCCTCGACCTCCTGGGAGAAGGGCGACAGGTCATCGGTTTCGGCAAGGTCCTCGCTCTCCCGGACGACGGGCTGATTAGGGATCAACTGCCGGAACATGCGAAGGTTCAGGGGGACATAGCGCACCTCATTGCCGATGGTGATGGGAACCATGGGTACCGGAGAACGAAGGCCGCCGGACGAAGCGAGTGATGGGAAGCCACCATCTCCCACAAGAGCCTGATCTGGACCGTTCCAGCCGAACAAGGCCGAGGGATAGGACACGGCTGGACTCTGATCCTGTCGCTTGCGGAAGTACTGCATCGGATAGGCGGGTGACTGCATCGGGAAGCTGACGGGATACGGCACGGCGATGGGTGTCCGAATAAAGTCATCCACTCGAGTAGTAGTGGTGGAACTAGATGGAGTCACGTTAGTAACCACGTTTTGGGTAGTATTAGACCCGGTTCCATTGGACGAGCTGGCGGCTGGCAGAGAAAGAACCAGAATAGTGGTGCCACTTTTTTGTCCAAAAAACCGACCCTGGACATCTTCAGCATTTCGTAGTCTCGGCTCGGGATTTTGGCGGATCTCCTCCTCCTTAACCTCTGGCGGGAACTGAAACTCTGCCAGGGTCAAGGGCACTATCAGCTGGGCCACATTCCCGGGCGCCGTCTCTACACTGCTGAGGCAGATGGCTACCAACAAGGCCAAAGGATAACTCACAACTGGATGCATCTTGCTTGGCTTGGAGTGAAGAAAAAACTGTGCTCGTTCTGGTAACAGATCCCGACTTTTATAGCCAAAAATTCTAGCCTCAGTTAGCCGTCCTAATGAGCCACTACGAGGTTCTTATCGCAAACGCTTATCACCGAATTTTTTGTGCACGAAAAACTCGCGCTTTCATCGCGATTAAATCCATTAATCTCGCTTCGTTTTAAGTTGTTTTTGGTTCTTGGTTCTGACTTTGTTTTTTTATTTTTTCTTTTCCTTTTTTTGAGTTTTTTAGTTTGAAGCTCTCTCGTAGCTCTCGTCTGATGTTAATTACACGTGCTGGGGGATAAGCCAAATTAATGGGCCAACTGGATTCTGGCTCTTGTTTTTTTTTCTTCATTCTTTTCCAAGGAAGCGATAAAGACCATGAATTGATTTTTAAGTTTTTTTTTTAATTTTTAATTTTGAAAAAATAAAATAACGGCTTTCAAAATTTATTAAAATATATGGTAAGAACTTTAAATATCTGTAGAGCTTCGATTTTTTTTAATAATTTATTTAGAACCAATTAAGAGCCAAGGTTAGTTTCACACCCATTTATGGCCCTTTTTTTTTTTAAGAAACTTGCTATGAAATTCTTAAAAAAAATGTCTTTTTTTACGGTAGAACCTATTCTAAGAGGTCCTAGGAGGTCTATTTTATTTAAAGATAATCACTATAAAAATAATTGAAAAAGTTTTCGATAATATGTATAACAGTATTTGAAAAAACTCATGAAATTAGAAGAACTTTTTTAAGATCTAGCCCAGAGTTCTCCCCTTTTCTTCATAAGATTTTTAATAATTCTCCTAGATTTTTTATTGTTTTTTTATTACATTAAAATACAACAAAAAAAAAATCCTAATATTTTAAACCAATTTTATTGAAATTTTTTCTGCTTTTTTTTTTATAGTTTTCCCACAATTTCCATAATATAGGGTACATTCTATACTAGAACAGAAGTTAACAAGAATTGAAGACTTGAAGAAACCATTTTTAAACATAGATATATATTTTATTTTTTTTTTTTTTTAAATATATATTTTTCTTTAACTTCTTATTAAAATGAATAAAAATGGTTCAGATATGTATGATAGCTTTTTCAAAACATTTTTGTCTTTTAACTCAAGAATTTTCAGAACCTTTTAGAATCAAAGGTTTTAATTTCAACATTTTAATGATTAGTCTTTTAATTAAATTTTTTGGTTAATTAATATAGTTTTCATTTAGTTTTTGAGCAACCATACACAACCACTACCTAACTACACTCTTATCCCCCATGAAAATCTCAACTTTTCGTGAAAACTTTTCTTCTCTCTTCAAAAGAAAAGACTATGTATGTTTCTATATTAAATGTTTTTTAATGACCCTAACCCCGCCGCCCCCCCTTAGACACCTCTCCATTAGACAATAAAAAGCCCGACTTGAATCTGGAATATGAAATTCTATATGAATTCTTGATGGGCTTTTCATTTCATTTGATGTGCAAGACGACACATTTAAATAAATATTTTGCAGCAACTACTTTCGGGGCAATGTTATGCCACTTTCATGCAACGGCACAGCTTAACACCTTTCTTGTCTCTTTCTTTGCCACACTTGCTGTCTCTATCTCGTTGTCTATAGTCTGTCTCTATCTTTCGGCTGGATGGTGGGCTTGTTGTGTTTGTGTTTATTTTGGGCCAATGTGTCAAAGTCAACTTGGTAAAAAGTTTGCTTTTTATTATTTTGTTGCTTTCGCCGTCGTTGGCAGTTTTTGAAACGCTTTTGGTCGCCACCTCCTCCTCCTCCTTCTCCCCCTGCTTCTTCTTCTTAGCCTTGTTCTTGGTCTTTTTGGCCAACTATCTTAGCTTGTTCTTACCGCAGATGCTTCACTTTCTTCGCACTTGTAAGGCGAGAAGAGAGAGAATATTATAGCTTCTGCCTTGCCTACTTCAAGGCGTTGTTTAAAAAATTAATAAAATAATAAGAAGTAAAAGCAAAAAAAATAAAAAAAAAATTTTATAAAAATAAGAAATAGAATGCAGGGCTTATAATAAAAAAGGTGACTTTCCTGTTAACCCTTGTGGATCTTGCGTTTTGGTTTTTTTTTATTATATTTTGTGGAAATTTTTGCTATTATTTTAAAATTTATGAAAAATTTTTTCTAAAAATCTTCAAGTTTACATAAGTCGTTATTTTAAGAGTATTTTTTTATTGATTTTTTATTAATAAATTGTATAGAAATGTGTCTAAAATTTATAAGATTTTTAAGAAAGAATTTAAAATTTGTATATTATTTCTTCAAAATTTTAGTCTGATTTTCTAATTACTTTTCACATTTTTTTTGTAATTTTTTCAGAAAACTTTTATTATTCATAACTTTGAATTATAAAATTTTAAAAGCTTTTCATTATTTTTGTGCTATTTTCTAATTACTTTTCAAAAATTCTCTGAAAATTTTCTCTGAGATTGAAATTTTCTAAATAATTTTTATTTTTTTTAAGACTTCTTATTTTCATAATATTTTTTTAATTTTGGCAGCCAAAATTAAAATTTTCATAGTTTTCTCTTCAATTTCATGGTATTTATAGGGTTAATAAACCCTGAAAAAAAGTGTAACCCTATAAGGCGACTTCAGACTTTAGCAAATTTTACTTTTTTTTCTCGCAAAACTACTTTTTTGTCGCAATAAAAAATTTAAGTCGATTTTATGGACCTAAGAGGGCTTTGCTGAAGGGCGGGGCAAAAGGGCAGGGTGTAGGGCAGGGGTGTAAGGGGCGTGGGTCAAAAGTGAGTTCAAGAAGTTGCACTCTCGGTTCTTCTCAAGACACACATACCTATATATACATACATATATCTACATTTATTTTTTATTTTTTCTTTTTTTATAAAAATTACAATTTTTATAAAGCAAGAAAGAGTGAGATAGATGCTAGCGGGAAAAGAAAGAAAGAGAAAGCAAGTTAATGGCATCGTCAAAAAATTGGAAAGGTTTATTTAAATTTGGACTTGTTTCGAAAACGTTTAAAAAGTTTTTCGCTACTAACTGACTGCTGATAACACAAAAGTCTCCAGTCTCCAGACCCTCGCCCCGAGGGCAGCTACCCCTCTGTTCCTCTGTCCATCTATCCACTTACTTCTCGACTTTCTCGACTCTGCGTCTTCATCTCAAGAAATCCCCCCACCCACCATACCATACCATACCCCTTTCATGACTGCCTGCCCTGAGGCCAAGTTAAAACAACTGACAGAAAGTTGTTGCCCTCCCACCCCACTCCCCCCCCCTTTAAGAAGAAAAATTGTGAATGAATCAAAAGGGGAAATTGGTAAATCCATGGAAAAGGCTTCAGAGGAGGAGTGAGGGGCCTCCAAAGGGGGCCGTGACAAAATTAGCACAAAATATTTTATTTTCGAGTAGCACTTTCCTCCCCTCCCCTTTCCTCTGGCCTTCTTTTTTATTCTTTTGGAGTTTTTTTTTTTGGAAAACCCATTTCAAAGCCTGACAAGGACTTTACTCTTGGGGGGTGGGTGCCAGTGGGGGGATGGGAGAAAAACAAATTAAAGTCAATTCCAAGATTAAGGCATATTATTGACTAATTTGTAACTAGAGGTTTGGTTTGCGGGGAGAGAGGTATTTAATGAAATAATAGAAATATAGGGAAATAGAGGCAGTTAATTGAGATTAAGACTTTAAAGATATTTTAGAAAATGTTTCTAACTAACTAACTAATAACTATTCTATTACCTCGTCTAGAGACTGTTCGTGAGACTAGTCTAGAGTATATAACTAGTATATAACTTAATAATATATGTATATACAATAAGACTTCTTATGATATATAATATAAGACCATAGTATTCTATTTAATTTCTAGAATATACACACGAATATTGCATCACAATGAACCTTGGTCACACTAAGGCATAATTGAGAAATAACAACAGCTTAAACAATACACATTTTTATCAAGAAAAATAATTCATATTTTAAAACTATAATATTATTCTTTTTTTTTTCTAGAAATAATTCCTCTTTTTAGGTATAATTTTTCTTTTTTTTTTAATATTTTAGTAAACTTATATAAAAATGTATGTTTTTAAATTTCAAAAAATTATTTAAATACTTCAAAAGGCTTAAAAAAAAATAAGAAAAACTTAATGCTCAAAAATAAATAATATTTTAAGACAAAACCTATCAAAAATCTATAAAACCTTTGCAAGAAAACGAGTATTTCTTCCTAAAAACTCTAAAAATTCAAATTCTAGCTTATTACTTATTAAAATTTCTTTAAAAAATATCTTAAGACCTTTTAAGTTTAAAATTATAAATATAATAAACCTATTTATTTATTAAAGTTTATAATTTTTAACTAAAAACCACCAAAAAGCTCATGCATCTCATTTCTCATTCGATTAAGAAACAAAATCACTTGTAATTAGTAATTAGAAAATGTAATAACTTGGCACCCAGTCCGCCCCCCCATCTGGCCTCTCTTTCACGCATCATTAGCCCCCGCACCCCACCTCCCCTCTGTCTGGTGTGGCACGCCAATGAATCTGTCAGTTTTTCAAATATCCCCAATGCCATTGTGCAAAGTTTCGAGTGGCAGCGCCACTAATATTGACAGCGCCCCAAATGTAGAACAAGTCCATGGGTGTTGCAAGAGGTGGGTGGTGGGTGGTATAGAGGGCGCTTTAGAGGCGCATAGCTGGTGTGGAAACGTGCCTGAGCACGTCTTCTACTTAACTTTGTTAAACACAAATCCTTTGGGCAAAGAGTTGCTCCTCCACTCTCCCCTCACTCTCTCTCTCTCTTTGGGGCTGGCACACGCATATTTCCAGAGGGCGTGGTGGGGCCTGGTGGGGGTGGGATGATGGGTTTAAGGATGGTCCTGTAGGGCTATGAACCACCAGACATAATCGCATAAAGATAAAACAGTTTAACAGTCGCAATGAACAAAAGCCACCAACGAATGCCATTTGTAGAGAGGTCGGAGGAGGAG